GAAGATTTTTACCATTTTTGTTTGTTTTTGCCTTATATCTTAAAAATTATAATAGATAGATAGAAACTTAAATATAGCAAAAATGATCAGCAAGACAAGGTCTACAATGAAGACAATTTGGAGGAAATCGTACAACAACTTTTTATTGGAGCTATCGCCCTTTAATGATGATTTTTACCATGTTTTGCCTTATAGGATAAAAATTATGATAGATAAATAGACATTTTAAATCACAAAGATGATCAGCAAGGCAAGATCTACTAACAAGTCAAATGTTGCTGATATAGTTAACAGACTGTCACTCTTTAAAGGAGTGACTGCCCTTAAATGAAGATTTGATTTTGTTTACCCTCTTTTGTGTTTTGAGCAAAAACTAAAGAAGATAGAGAGAAACTAAACTGACTAAAGGATCAGCAATAAAAGATTAACAAAATAGAGATTTTTGTCATGAATTCTATTCTCGTCTAAAATGTTGGAGAGTTTCCTTTGTTAAATATGCACATAGACCAAGGTGAGCGACACAGGCTCTTAAGAGCCTCTAGTTTATATAAGTTATTGGTTGGATTGTCTTATCTCCATCTAAAACTTTAGCTAAAAGTATATTTCACTGGGTATTTTAGTTAAAACAGATTTGTAGCATGTTGAGAAAACCCACATTATAGAGCAAGTAATTCGAAACCCTAAATTGGCCATTTGTTTTAGCAATTCAAAATGACTTCCTTACCTTTCAAATTACTTTACAAATTACAATAAACGTATGTGTAGAAATTTAAGACAACATTTCAAAGTATGCGTGAAGTGGAACTCAAGTCTTATGGGACTGTTGGTATGCTTCATTTTCTCCCTTGACATTTTGATGAAATGGCTGAGATTCTTCTTCATTAGTTGGTAAAAATTTCTTACCAGTTGAACAGGTTTGTTTGATGAAACAAATTTCAATAAGATCAGAATATTGAATGAACAGCAATAAGGTGGAAAGAAACACTTAAAATCAAGCCACTTCAATTTACAAAAACAAAATATGGTGCAAATTAACGCAGCACCTTTTGTTTTGTAGATTACATTTAAAGCATGACGCCAGTAATAATTCTTAGCACTACTGTTTGTTAAAATTTCTTCTCTTATCTGCAACATGTGAGCCTAATAGATACTAAAAGAATGCCACTTGTTTAATGTAGAAATTCTACTAATAGGCACTAATGACTTTGTTTAGTATTGTTTATTTGTCCAGTTAAAATTGACATCTTTATAGATTGATATGTGGATCTTTTGACTTAAAGCATTGATAATGTGGAGGTTAGGTTCTGGTTAAAACTATATACACTCATTCTTATTAGTCCTTATTCTAAGTGAGGTTATTCTCTTAGCGTTTTTTTTCCATCATGATATACGACAGGTTTTATTTTAGTTATTTTCTTCGTTCCACAATATGTCAGTTGGGAAACACCTCTTTCAGAAACAGCTGTTAATTATAAACGTTTTGTTATCAATCTACAGGTAGATCAAAATTCTTAAATTTGTGACGGTTATTTATATCAGGAAATGCAATAATGTGTTGCTATTACGAAAAAGGAATTTTGAAATTAAATGCGAGAAGATAGTTCTTCAAACCTTTCAGAAAATAAACAAAAAATATTTATTGTAACCCTACTCGGTTATTTTTTGCTGCATAACAACAAAGATAAATTAACTCTGCATTCTTGAAAAGATCATATTTATTTCTACATTGAATGAAAAGTCCTCCAAACAAATTGTTTTCCGTATCAAAGACTGATTCAGTAAAAAAATCAAAACCAATCAATCGCGGCTTTTTGTGATCCAAAACGGTTGAATCCTCGATCTCATACTACCTTAAAATTGATTATTACAAAGGCTCAGAACACATTTCTTACGTATTCAAGTACATGTATATATATTTCATTACAGATTTTAGAGATGATGAGATAAAGAATGTGTTTATGTCTCTTATAACAAGGATCTATTCATTCTTCTGAAAATGCTTGTATCATCATTTAATTTCTTCCTTATAATAGTTATTATGCACTGACACAGCACACAGTCAATCATGCAATTAAATATAATATCTAGCATGTACATGTATCAAATGAAAAAAAGTATTAATTGCATGCGTTCGAAGCTCTTTTCTGGATTACCTCTAATCAGGATCGCCCAAAGCCGAATATTTTGAAGCCAAGGATGTACAAGAACTGAAACGATTGAAGAATAATATCACAAAAAAGGACATATAACTAATAGCCAAATCCATCTAAGGTCAACTTAATAATTTATGAATTTATAAACGGACAATTTATGAAAGGTATATGAAAGGTATGTTATAAATCATGTTAGTACCGAAGTACTGACGACTGAGCTGATGTTATTACCCTTCGAGACCGACTGTCCGTGACCACCAGCAGCAGTGTCGACCCAGTGATATGAAAAATAAAAATAACACGTTTTAAATTTCATGCGTCCAAAGCGTTTTTTCTAGATTCCATCAGGAACGCTCAAAGCCGAAACATAAGAATAAGAACCGAATCAGTTGAATAGCTTTACATACACAATTTCTATTTGACTGTCTTGTTAAAAAACTTAGAATCATCAATAAAACGATTTCCTTACTGAGAAGGGATTCTTGGAAGTCACAAAATCTGTTTTTATCCTTCAAGATGTTAATCTACTCAGTTACTTTATATTGGATGCTTAAATTATAAAGTCACTTAAGAATTGTACATACCGACGCGAGTTTCTTAATAAAAGGAAGCGTTATGAATAGTTTTTGATAAGTCCTACACTGATTTCATTTTAAACATACACACTAGTCAAATTGCTGGACTTTTGACAATGCATTTTTATTGTTGCTGAACTGACATTCGGTATGTCAACGGTCGTTATTTTGTGTCAATGCAAGCCACTGTTTGTGTCACAGCCAATGCTAGCTGACCCGCTCATATACAATTTATACAAACCATGTAAAATTTCAAAATCTTTTAATTTCATTTTCATCTAAACTGGAGATACCTTTTTCATCGACGTTGTATCGCATATACGATTTTTAAGATACATATACGGAAATATACAGGTCCTCTTTACAACTAGATGTATTTGCTGAAATTTACCCAGATGCACAACTCATCTCTAGGATATTCCACAATCGGGATAATTTCAGCTTTTCTATATTGAAAACTAATTATTGCTTTGCTGTAACATACCATCTGGGACGTTTATATATTTCGGTTAATACGGTATGCTGGAGCATGTTCCATTATTACTGTGGACAGCCCATAGTCACAAACATCGTCAGCTATTTTCGTTTGTTATATATAAGTGTTTTGTCTATCATTTAGAGATTTTAGTGTTAATAGTCTTCGATAGTCTCTGTTAAATTTACTCATAGATTTTCTTGATGGGGGCATTTACAGCTTGACAATGTATATCGACACGTATAATTTGTTCAGTGCTGTAGTTATTTTTGCGTCGTTATGTTGCTATCATCTTATAGTTTTTCCAACATCTTTTATTTATCTTACCTACATCAAAGTTGTGGAAGTATATTTCTGACACGATATAGTCACGATATCGATGACATCAATAGCCCCATTATCGTTATATTTGCAGTTTGTAATGAGTAACGATAGGGGTTAGATGGCTAGTTTACCTTGTATTCACCTGATGCATGTGTCGATGTCGAAAATATCGACTTTATCTATCATACTTCGACACTTCAGATATATTCTTCATGATATGTTTCTCTAAACTACACACTCTATATTCATTTGCTATACTTAGGTGTCGACATGTGGCTTCAACAGCATTATCGACGACATCGAAGCAATTGCTATAATTGCATTTATTATTCAAAATCTACTGCAACCACAACAACCGACTTTGCCAGATTATCATTGCGATCACTGTACATGTTCTTCACTTAAAGTTGGAGTTTAAAGTATTGCAATAGTATTCAATAGTCTTGTCGCACATTAGTAAAACATTGCCTTCGTTTCTGAATTGTAGATATTGTGTTGTCTAAGACTTCGGTTTTTCAGCCGAATATTTTAAAACCATAGATAGGTGATACATATTCACATTTTTGCACTTTGTCACAACGAGAAAATTATATCATTTCAAATTATTTTAAATTTTGATCGATACCTATGTTGTTAGACTGAATGTTCACAATTTTGGAATTTTTGTCGTTGAAAATACGGATTTGGTTTAAATAGATAGTAGTGATAGTTGAATGTAGGCATTAATGGTAGTTTCCATATACCTCGCTTTGACGTCTAAGAATGTTTATGCTCTTCGTTTTAGTTATTTATCTGGTTGTTTCAGTTATATTTTTAAATCTGTTTAAAAAGGAGGGAATATGCCAAGGGGACAATCAAAACGCAGACAACAGCAAAACCTACAATAAGAAAATAGAAGACATCCAATTGTCCAACTGAAATATGGCTACTGTAAACTAAGATTTAGCAACACAAAGTCTAAAAAAAATAGAAGACAAACAATTGTTCAAATAATAAACATTAAAAAAAGATTATGGCTACAACAAAGGAACATGTCCGAGGTCATCTGTGACAAAGATATTCCATAACAGTCAACCAAAACATAATAACGTCTTCAAACTTTCAGAGAGATTTCTTCAACTAAACCATTCAGAACTCTTTGCTTATGGTTCGGATTTCTAAATATTTTAGTTTTGTTTATTTAAGAGATTTCATTTATCGAAATTTTTATCTAGTCCATCAAAACCGGTATCTTCTAATGCCAATATTTCAGTGATGAAGCTCTCAAAACATTGCTTACTTCTACAAGATCGAAATGTCCCTATATAATTTGAAGTCATGGCTATTGAAACGGTTCATTTTAACATTACAAGTTCATTCATATTCATATCTTCCTGTTTATCATGTTGCTATATGTATATGTGTGCATACAAACGAACCATCTATTGACTCGTATGTAATAAAATAGAGTTATCTCCTAAAAAGTCAATGTTTCGATTACGCCTTAAGCAGTCATGTGTGTTATCCTTGACAGACGGAATGTTTATGTCTTATCCTGTCAAGTGTGAAAGTATATACCTGCGTACACTTGACAAACAACTTAACCATATCTGATTGTATTGGGATTTATATTTTTGTTCGTTTTCGTAGTAAGTAAAATAACTTTAGAACTTAAAAGTTGTTATAAAATTCAATTGTGTAAAACTTGTTAAAATGATTATGCTTTATCTCGATGCAATTTTCTGTAACCAAGAAGAATATTAATTGCATCGTTACACTTTTTACTTGGCCGGTTAGGGAATTTAAAATTACTTTCAAAGGGGAATATGCCGGCCATTTAAGCAGGAAGAACATCATATTTAAAACCCTAATTTAAAAAAAATATGTAACGTAAACTCTTCCTTAACATTCTCAGCATTCAATACTTTATCTTAATGCATAATCAGTATTATTATGTATCATAAATAAATACGACAATTGTACGTCTCCCACGTCTTATTAAACAGTATTCCATTTCATTTCATTTGAAAAGGTGAGTATCTTTTTATGTCTTCGTCTTGAGTGAATACTCAAAAATTTAATTTTCCAGTCGTTTTTCTCATTAGTGTGTGTAATTAAAACGAATTTGATATGAATACTACTTTGTCAAATTAATATGGTTCATATAGTGTAAATTTTAAATAAATATTTCGTATATGTTCATTGAGGTATGATGGTTGAGCAATGATAATCTAAAGGAAATCGCACATTGTACAAGGTATTGATAAATATTAGAATTGCAGATTTCTGAACAAAAAAACAATGTGCAGATATTCCGAAGCCATGTAGAATATGCATGTGTAACATGATTATCCTTATTTTTCAAAAACATTTTGGAAGACACGGTGTTTATCATCTTTATAGATGCGTGGGTGGTGGTTCGATCTGACAACACCCTTTATTAAAATTTTTGTTCAATCATATTTTGATTTCGTATTAAAAAATGAACGGATGGGTCATAATGTAGAACGCTAATCCTGATATTGATCCATTGATCTTGAAACACAGCTGATGCAGAAAAATCCATTTTATTTAAGTATCTTCATAATTATATGTTGTAGACTAGGTGTGGTTAGTACAAGACGATAATAATGTGTAAGTACATTTCATTTGTGATTTTAACTAACCCATAATGATTTTAAATACAATTGTATATTGAATGAGGCTATGCCATATAAATATGTATCCTTTCAGGCCGAGTTTAGATGAAAAAGGGAGGTCTCTGTTTTTCATTTACCACTATATATGATAACCGGAAACCGATTTCAAAGTATCATAACTGGCTAATTCCCATATTGTGTTGTGTTCTTGTCCATTACTGATAATAAAAATGATCGAACTAAACAGGGTTGCCTTCACTTAAAAAAAAAATTACAACTCGTACAAAAATTTCGTGTATGTTGTATTTTATATATGATTGTTTGTGTACTTGTTTCACTGAGATAATAAATTTAAAGGTAGATGACTAAAAATATTGTTAAAAGGTGTAGAAAGTAAAATGACATTTTATGTAAATGAAATGTATAGCGGGGGCGTAATTGGGGTTTGAAATGTGTATGTCTACAAGAGTATAGACATTATTTCGGTGTTAAGATTCACAAAGCAACGTGAAATAAATGTTACACCCATTTACTCATATCAACCTTACATGGTATTGACTTTTAACTTCCTTAAAATGAGCTACAAAAACATATATTTAATCTCAGCGTGTTAGCTACAATAGACGAACACTCAAAAATATACTTATTTGTTTATTTTTCTGTACCAATCAAAACGTGCGTTTGCTTGACCTTATTTATATTGCAAAAGAAACCCAATATATAACAGAAATGAACAAGGTTATCATTTTCGTTTTGCTCTAACAACAACAAAAAGATGGTTTTAACGATGGCAAAAAGGATTTTTTTGTCAGATTGTTCCGCGGTAAACCTGGCTACACCCAAACCACATAAACACTTCCCATACATTTCTTGGTAACCCAGTGTTCCTCACATTAATTACAAAATGATAACACGACCAATACGGAAATATCGTCATATTCCCATACATTGTCATAAACAAATAAAAAATAAATTAATGTCATATTTTTACCACTACCTTGATCATAACAGACATAAATGAGTTATTTCTAGTTAATTAGTGTTTTAACATCTATATAGTTAAACGTCAAAGTTTATACTATTTAGTCACGGCTTAGGCACCCATTTTACTAAGTATCGGTCTTAAAAAGGGATTGTATACTTTCAATGGATAAACAAATTTTACGGTTGAAAAGTTACTTTACCCTTCTAAATCCCCATACATCACATAATCAACTAAAATGGATAGTTAAGCCTAATGTTAAATCTTGCAACTACTACCTTAATCAATCATGGGTAGTAAACCGTTGAATTTCATAATATGCTAAACCTACAAATATCTATACTTAGGTTATTTTAGAAGCGCTGTAGTACTACATATTAAATTTTTTTTTCATGGAGAACTGCTTCAGATGAATTATGTCAGCAGCCACTTCTCGTGCGTAATTAAATGATTCAATTCACCCATTTAAATTAACTGTCAATCTAAACATCAACTACATGTAATAGTTTCATCCTTGGCGAAATGTATGACCTGAACTATTTTGCCAACAGTTGTTGGTTTATGGATAAATAAAAGTCGTTGTACTAACAAAGCAGATTTTTAAATTTCCTTGATTAATCCATTGTTGATAAGTTCACACAAAGTTTGATGTAAAAAATGTGTTAGCATCATTGCTACATGTACAAGATCAGAAATTTGATAGAGAGTAATGTAAATATTAAAAAAACTTTATATATGACGATAGATTTGAAATAATGTTTCCAAAGTACTTGACTATAGAAATGAGACTCACAGGAATTATAGAAACAACTACATGTACTTTGAAAAAAAAAATTGATCAAAATATTGCAGTAAATTACAGCCATTCAAAACTACCAAAATTGATTACTGTGTAACACTTAAGGAAATCATTTGTTCAACGAAAATCAGATTTAAGAAAATGTGTATAGAATATTATTGTTACACGTGCCAAGTGTACATGTATTTAATGTTTGTGTAACATATTTTGTATTTGTCTTTGTATGTATATGATGCTATTGTCTCTTTAGTGGTCGTAATTTGTGCTAAATTTGATTTGATTTTATTTGTAACTTTTGGACAGCCGGACTTAGGAAAGCAAAGAAATATGACTGGAAAGATTCGAACATGGCCTTGTTTGGATCAGATACTGAGAAGAACGTCAAAAGTAAGTATATTTCTATAGTACATTGATCACAATCTGTAGAACTAGTAGTGCTAAAACACGTGTCGAGTAAACCCTATTAAGGAATCTTAATCGTTTCCTCATATCCAACATATACAAAGATATACAATGTAATTGATTTCGGTATTTGGCAAATGCATAAGCGAGACGGAAGATACCATAGATATTCAAACTCATAAGTCGAAGACAAATTGACAACGCCATGGCTAAAAAAAAACCCAACTATTTCTATAGGAACTGTGAAACTAAGGTAAAAAAAAATACCCATTTTAATGCCACCAAAGTGTTTTTCCGTGATTTGATTGAGAGAATCACTGATTTTATAGTTCTTTGTTATTCAATATTTGGACAGGTCTAATTTACAGCTGCAAATCGAAAGAACTCTTTTCGTCTGGAAAAGATATAAGATTAAAGACTAATTAAATATTGGAATAAACAAAGGAGTAGGGCTTATTTTCCCTGAATTTATTTCACACTAGTGCCATTTTCAAATAGTATTTCAATCTTTACTTTAAGTACCGCATCTCACAGGTTTTTATAAACATGTCATCAGATTATGAACTCCCGAGGAATGCCAATAACCGCAATAAAATGAGATTTTGATTATTTTTCCCCCAAAAGTACACTCCTTTTCAGATTAATTACTTAAAGATTTAAATTTATGCAAACTGTTTGTTGTATTGAACGGTTTCGCTAGAGATAGAGCGAATATTCCTGTTTTTTTTTCACTCAAGAGTTATCTCCATAAAATCTCCATAAAATAAAAAAATATTCAGTGCTACACACTGCTTTTAAATTGATACAATGTTGTTGTAATATGTGAATTTAGTATAGATCGAAAGACTTTTTGAAAATGTTCCTGGTGTAAAGATAAATACGAGGGAGATTAACCCTACCTCTTTTAGAGAGGTATATTGTTATGATTATTAGACATGAACTGGCGAAAACAACTTCTAGACTAGTGCAGTAGTGGGTGATAAATGTTCATGTATGGCCACATGTTTACACTTCATTCATTTCACCGACAACTTAACATCAAAGATTTGCTGGCTAATTACAGAAGGGCTGTAATATTCTGACTTGGTGTGGGATTTTAAAAAAGGAGGTGAAGATCCAAGGGAGATATTTCGGAAACGGAATGAACAACATCATGGCTAGAACGAAATAAATAAGTGTAACATAATTCGTGTAACATATTTGTGGTCATCTGTGACACTAACAGTTTTCAATAACGGTCAACCCAATCATGAGATGTAAAACGTTTTTCTCATACTTCGGGTCATCCGCCCATCAACTTGGTTATCTTTTAACGACAGTCCTTCTTTCCACATATCAGAGAAAACCATCAGGAAAATGGCAATATGAAATTATATGAATGGATTTTAAAAAAGCATTTATGGCATGATATTTATCAACAACTAGACAGAAATGACTTTTATCTTGCCTACAGTAGTTGTGACCATTCTTAAACTGAATTATCAGTTACTAGTATCATTTCAATGTAATTGTGCTTTTTACAGCGGATGATCGTGAGGTCATTCCGGTGTATTGTTATCGCCTAAATTTCCATTATGTAAATTAGTTTTGGGTTTTTAACCGATCTATAAACATGATAAATACGCCGACATCATCGAGTGCAAAATAACATTCCTTATCGCTTGCTATATATTCATTTCTTCAATGAATACTCATCAAATATTTTTTAAGAACATAATTTAATAATATTAAAATGTTTTATATGTATGTAAGTAAAAATTATTAATATCTATGCAGACGTACAGAAAAATTGTGTTAACGCATGCGGAAGAATATCTCAAGAACGATTTCAATCTCCTATAAAGGAGGTGAAGATTATATACAGATACATGCAGAGTTATTGGTCCTTGCTCTCTCGTTTTGCGGGAAAATATGAATGCCTACTCAAATCCAATCTATAAGAAAAATCTAATTATTATAGAAGAGTGTCTACCATGCACTTGCACTGCACTATTAATAATTAGTAGAATAGAATGATATACAAATGGATGAAAATTATATATACATGTAACTGTAATATACAAATATTAATATTAATATAAACCAGAGTATATTGATTTGTATCGCTACAATACATATATATATATATATATATATAATAGCTATTACGGTGATGTTGAATTCCCTTTCATTTATTTATCTTCCACACAAGAACTTGTCTCAGAAAAAAAAATACATCTGTACATTAACCTCACTTTCAGGTATAAAGATGTGATTTTTTTTTTCTGAGACAAGTGCTTGTGACATCCACAATAACTTGCGGTCATCCGATGTTCAGTACTTCAGTACTTTGATATCATTTGTAAATTCCATAGTACACTCTGAGTAATGTTGGACCACTTGCTCAGTGATATTTATATATCTTGTTTTATTCATATTATAGTTAAACAAAAATCTAAATTCAATTTTACTAGGTTTTACAGGTATGAAATTAAAGAAATTATTAAAATTATATGAATACGTTCTCGCATGTACCATAGAATCTATTCCCGTACAAACAGCACAGAAGCATAGATAGATATATATATATATATATATATATACAAGTCTAAATTGAAAACAACGTTCAAACCTAATATAAGATTGCGTTGGATAAAAACCGCAATTTTATACATGTTCATGCAAAACAAATTTCTTGGTAGAGTGGTCTTAATACAGCACAACATTTTCCAAAAGACCAAAAAAGTGAAAAAGTATATTTTAACAAAACGCATTTGACTAGCAGGTCGAACAACGGATGTTCTTAAACCCTGCTGACTGCCATGGCGATTGCCAAATAAACGGATCACCAGATGTAAAAATGGATCTTAATTATTAATTTAATACCAAACAGAAAACAATAAACTTGCGGAAAAGATGGTATACCGCAAACATGAGGTGCAAAAATTTGTACATCATATCCGGATTTCGACAATTAACGTCTCTCCAGTGATGTTAGGAATCGAAACGGTATTTGGAAGGCCATATAATTTACCTCAATTTGGGATATATATACATATATAAAAATCTGCGAGGTAAGGCAATGTATTACTGAAATAAGTCTCATTAAGTTCAACCGATAATTTAGTAGTTTTATGCCAGTTAAATATAAGCCTTCTATTTTCAGAGGAATCCGCTTTAACTGAACCAGCTTGGAAAAACGCGGGTAAAGAAGTTGGACTTCAAATCTGGAGGATAGTTGTGCGTATTTATTTTTTTGAATAGTAAAATATATTTCATTCGGGAAAGAAATGTGTCTTACAATAATACAAATAGTCAAAATATCTTTTATATTTAAATGTTGCTTGGCGTCAGCTTATCCTCCTCATCTCTTCATACACGCACAGCGAACAAATGTTTTGAGCAAAACTATGCAACTGTAAAATTGAACTGGCACAAACCTAAAACATATAGAATATGAAAAAAGTAAAAATGAATAATGACTATAGAAAATGATTCGGCGTGGTAATGTCATAAATTATGAGGCGTGAAATAATCTAAGGAGTCCCCATTTAAAATTGCGACTCTAAACAACTGTACTGATTACAAAAAGACAATGTAGAAAAGGGTCTACATGATACAAAAATATATTATTTTGATCTTTGACACCAGTGGGCTAAATTATAGCTAAATAAATCTGAGGGTATCGGGCCATCCAATGAATGTATCAAAATTTCATCCGAATTAATTCTAATCCCACGGGAAATGGAATTGAATTGTTGAAATGGATTTTGTCGTATTTTCTTTTTCTATAATTGTTTTGAATGCATAATGTAAGCCAATGACCGATAAAACTATGAAAAGAAAATATTGGAAACATGCAAGCTTAGCACGATTGGCCTAACAGAATCCCGTATACAGTCTAACTAGCTGACCAGACTCGATATATATTTAATATGTTTACATCATGTAAAAGTAATCTTAAATTATAAGTGAACAGTACCGTTCTTGCATTTATCCTGTCGGCGTATCTGAATCTTACTCCCTTATTCGTGAGTAAATGCAACTTACATTTAGCTTATTCGGATTTTGTCATTTCCTTATAAGATTATTTTTCTTTTGTATGCTTATATTCTTTTTGAATTATTTATACAGAAATTTAAAGTAACCAACTGGGCTAAGGATGAATATGGTAGCTTTTATAATGGAGACTCGTACATCATACTTAATGTAAGTATGCTTTATGAAACACATTTATTTTCAGTTAAGTGGCAAATTTTAAGTTATAAAAAGAGATGGGATATCAGGAAAAAATAAAATAATTTTACAAAAAAAATGACAAGAAAAAATAGTCTGGCAAAAATTTGTTCAAAATTCGCCATCGAACTAAAAATTAAAAAAAAAATCAAATTTTAAGTATTTAGTTAAAACGCCATATATCTAAAATATAACATGTTTCGTCTGATAAGTCTTTACGTTTTTTAAAAGCGCTTCTTTTAAAAAAACAATTTAATGTATCATCTTTCTCACTTTGCATATACAAGATAATTGCCAGGCATTTGTTCCACATCCACTTAATGAAGAAGATACTCTTCAAAGTTATTTGAAACTCATCTGTAAAATATACATTTGCTGCACATTTTTTCTGTGTTTAGTGTTGATGTTGATGAATGTACATTGACACATGACGATGTTGTATGGTAGCCAAGTTCTACATTAAACTTTATTTTGAAGTTTTCATATTTACATGTAAATTGTTTGATTCATGATTCAAGAAATATCAAGAATTGTACTTGTTGATTTCACTTACTTCACAGCGGTATCATTGCTCTAATTTATTTTGTAGACTTATAAAAACAAAGATTCGGATAAACTCTTATATGATGTCCATTTTTGGATTGGGAAGTACAGCACTCAGGTAATTTCACACCATATCAATAATCTTAATAGAAAAACAATTACAATTTTCCACTGTTTTTTGTTTTTTGTTTTTCAACGAAATTCAAATCAACAAATTCTTTGAGATATCTTTCCTGATTGTAAACCGCCGTTGGCAAATCATCTGAACTAAAAGACATGGTCAAACGTGAATGTGTCTGAAAAAGCTTTTAATTACTAAGGCATACAAATTATTGAAAACACCACTGACTTCTTTTCCTATCAAAAATTGTAAAATCCTAATTGTATGTTTCTTTCTATTTTTGCTACATTGATTGAAAAAACAACATAAGTATAATAAATGAATGAGATGTGGCGATCAACACATAACCGTTATTGGTTTCATCTTTTTTGAAATATTTTTTTGGGAATTTTGGTTATTAATGCTCTTCAACTTTGTGTTTTGAATTTCCAATCTGAGTTTTGATTCGAGCCCCACCAATGAGTCTTATGTAGACGAAACGCGCGTCCGGGGTACCAAATTATAAGCTTGGTATCTTTGATTACTTTTCACAGTGTTATTTTTTTCAGGATGAATATGGAACTGCGGCCTATAAAACAGTAGAATTGGATACCTTATTAGACGGTGTACCCATTCAACACAGAGAAGTTCAAAATAATGAATCATCTATGTTTAAAGCCTACTTTTCAGCAATAACGTAAGGAACAACTTCTGTTGTTTTTCAGTATTTTCTTTTTGTTTTCCTTTTAATTTTGTTATTTATATCAATTTAAAAAAACTACAAATGAAATGTTCTAACGTATGCGCGCGACACGTGTATCTGGAATAATCGGTTCATCAGGTACCCTCGAGACCAAAAGTTAAACAAAAAACAGTCTGGGGTCGTCATTGTCTAAAGCTGTTGCAACCTTGGATTAAGCACAGCATTAACAGACAAAACGTATCTTTTAAATCGTGCCAATACCGTTGCACTTGCTACAGGGTGTGTGCTACTCTTAGAAACTGCATCGGTACGGATCCGTAGGTGTTAAAACAAGCTACCGATTTCCGATATTTGTTTTCTTAAAAAACTTTTATCTTATATTTTTTTCTATATAATCGAATAATTTCGAGTAATTTTGTATATAGAAAAAAATACTTTTTGAATTATTCTTTATTTGCAATTATTCTAGAAGAGACGCAGTGTTTACGTCACACGAAGGAAAACTGAGGGTACTCTCGTTGTCATTAACTGAGAATAACTGGTTTCTGTTTTCTTATTATAATAAATAAAAAAACAATTATCCTCTTTATGCAATAATTTGAAATATACTTTACATCCAATTTTAGTCTAATGGAAGGTGGTGCAGAAACTGGATTCAGAAGCGCGCGACAACAAGCAGAAATCAAACGACTGCTTCATTTCCGTGGTGACAAAAAGGGCGTTGTAGTTCAAGAGGTGTGTAATTATGAATTACATGTATTAATCTAGTATTAACAAAATGTATATGGTATTAATAACTTTTTGTGTGAAAGGAGAGTATGTACATTATTTCAACGTTAATGAAAACAATATGAAATGTATTATACAATAGACAATTTGAAACAAGTTTCGGGTTAATATGAATGTTCAGAGTTGTTTCTAAATATTTTTGGTTTGCATTTACATAAAAAAAAATTGATCAGAGTCGTTGGTAGCATGCAGCACTTCGCACTCCTGAACAAAGCACCAATCATGTCATTTTGAACGGATTATTTCCAGAATCAATTATATCCAAAAATAAAATGTATCAATTTTAGGCAGTCGGGAGCTTTCAGTATAAATGTTTATGGTTCGGTACCGTCTGCCATAATGGGGTTTGCTTCTCATTGAACGCCCTGGTGACCTATGATAAGTGTTTACATCCACGATCTTTGTTCTATGGTGCATAGTTGTTTTATTGGCAACTTTGTTTTATGGTGAATAGTTGTCTCATTAGCAACTTTTTTTCTTCGGTGGATAGTAGTCTCATTGAAATGTTTGTTCTATGGGGGATAGTTGTATCTTTGGGAATCATACCACATCTGCTGAGCTTTTTATACAGTTTCTGTCTCATTAGAAGCACTCGCCATGTTGCTCCTATCACAAGTAAAAATCAGTGATGAGTCGTGAAGGAGGACAGGAGAAATATATTGTGGTAATATGCTTTGTGTTTGTTTTCCTTGAGTTCTGGATGGAGGTAGGGATACGTGTTATCATCAACTTAGTTAAGCCAGAGACTTTGAAATTCACATATTTGCTGTTTTCTCTGTGAAGCACGTGACGTTTATGAGTGAACAATGACTGAATTGGTTAACCATAATAACAAATCCGGGTGAGATGAATTGTCCTCTAGTGGAATATTCCTTTGTAATTAAAATCGGCTCACTTGTCGGTCTTGTACAACCAAGATTTCATATTCACATCAATGATTAACCACAGTGACGTGTTGTCATCCTGATTATGTATAAATATTTGGCGTTGTTAAGAAGCCATCAATAAATTAAAGGCTATCATCGTTTTAAGGTTGGTCTGGAATAGACACACACAAAAATTAACGAACTCGACAAATGTCATATTTGTTGCACATAATGTGATCTTATTAAGCAATCAAACATCAGTTAAAAGAGAACATTTTTCTGAAATAGGAATATTTTCTAATCACGCAAATATTTGCCACAGAATAAAGTAGACTATTAGCAAGAAGATACATGGCCATGTACATTTGGGATATTAAATTTTTTTATTTTAATAGGAATGTGATTTTTAGACATGAATTTTATTTAAAGTTTAATACGATATCTGGGAATAATACATATAATTATATTGGTATCAGACGATACTGTTGGATATAACTGCCACTGCATGGACAAAACTCCATTGATACAACACTACGTATATATGCGTCCGTTGTACCTGATATCAGACGGCTAAAGTTATTACTGTCTAACTTCCAAAATAAGATTGTGTCCTGGAACACATTTTAAATAATATCTAAGGGGTTCAACAGAAGGCCATGTCTGTTGTTTCATTTGTTTTGCGTCAAGTATAAAATTTTCAAAACCTATCAGCCAGACAGGAAAAAGCACACCGAAATTTCTTTCTTCATTTTCAAACGAGTTTTTGAAATATTGTTTGTGTCTGTTTTAGCATCAAAAGCCGACCAGTTAAGCGGTTGTAAGAACTATGGATTAATGTAAACCAATAAATATCTTTCTGGTTTTGTATCATTGGGTTGCTGTTTCATTGATGTTTACCAGACATCTTCTTTAACCAGACAATAGTTATGGTCCATTAGGTCGTGTATGAATTGTCGAAAAAAAATATTATAAAGATATTAAGCACATATACAAATGACTATAAAACAATCAATGTGCTGAAAACGAAGTTGACTGGTGGAAAAAATGTTGTGGAATGGTCACTATCCAACTGAATTTACATTTGTATGACGGTCATTCATGGTTCCACCTAACTAAAATTTTCCAAACAAACAACATCGTAAGTTAGTAAAATATCTTTGTCTTCAAAACTTGATATTCTATTTTTGTTTGCACAGATTTTGCGGAAAAGAAGCAAATTGGATTCCAATGATGTATATATATTGGATCTTGGCTTGCAAATATATCAGTGGAATGGTCAAAACTGTAACAAAGATGAAAAATTCAAGGTAAGCTACATAGTATAGAGTAGAATTTGTACTGACATGTTTTGACTAAAAAACATCTGACACTGAATTTGTCTTTTTGCAGAAAAAAAGAAAATGCCTAGCTACCTACCCACTGTCTCTACCTTTTGGTAGGGTTTGGGCAAACCAAAATATTTTTAAGTGTGGCCTTACATATCGTGGAAGGCAGTAGGTTGACCTACTAAATGCATTTTGAATATTTTTGTCGTTGTGTGGCTGTCGCATTAATATACACTCAACAACTCCTTTTATTCTTATATCAATTTAAATACAACGAAACAAATCATGAGAGTTATTATGTACCTATACATTTTTAGAAAATATAAACTATTTCGAAAAGAAAAAATCAAGGTTTGAAATTATACTCAATTTACATCCTAAGCGAGATTTTACATCATAAGCTGTCAATTGAAAGAAGATACAAATCAAAATTATATGGTTTTAAGAAGGCATAATTTTTTTTATTTAATTCAGGCAATGCAATATCTCCAAGATCTGAAAAGCAAACGAAGTGGAAAGGCATCAGTGGAGACACTGGATGAAGTGGATACACCTGATTCAGTAAGTGTCAAATCAAATGAGCCAGTACTGACGTGTGTACAGATTAGTGCTTTGCAAAGAACTGATGACATACGCCATTATTTCAGTGACTGTCCACCTCACATAGCAGTTGCATAAAAAAAACTCAAACATTTTGGAATGAATTAAGGACAAGGAAAATGAAAAAAAAGTATTTCGTTAGATAATTTAGAAAGGTTGTACACAGGGTTGAGTATAATAAACAAAACCTAATGTAACGGAAGTAATACTAATAACTAAACACGAAAAAATAATAACAGCCGGATGGAACAAATAACATTGAAAACTAGTTTTTTTGTCGAGCGACTTCTGAATTTTAGAAGGTGGAAGACTTGGATGATTCATACTTTGTATATAGATGCCTTATGTTATGAAGTTTCCGTCTGTCATCTGTCCATTGTCCTTGACCTCATTTTCATGGTTCATTGATCATTGTTAAGTTTTCATGGTTAAGTTTTTTTCCTAGATACTATAGGCAATATGTCAACTATATTTAATGCATAGATTGATTGTAAGGTGTACATGTCTGTCTGACATAGTTCATCTGGCATTGACCTCATTTTCATGGTTCGTTGGTCACTGTTAAGTTTACCTGGTTAAGTTCGTTTCTAAGAAACTATAAGCAATAGGTCAACTATAGTTGGTGTATTGAATGATTGTTAGGTGTACATGTATTTCCGGTTGTTTTTTTTTTACCTTGACCTCATTTTCTTGGATCATGTTAAGTTTATGTGATACTAGTGGTAAAGCTTTACATCTAGGACTATCAACATAAAATCAATGGTCAGTAAAGCAGGCGAGACATTTCAGCGTGTGCACTCTTGTTTAAAACAAATTGTAAAGACGTCGGTAATATTTGAGTAAACAACCTGAAGGAAAATAATAAGATATATCTATATAAATTTCTTAATTCTAATACAAATAACCAAATGGAATACTACCTATCTCACACAAACAAAGAAACAAGAAAAATGTTAACCAAATTTAGAATAAGTGACCATTGTCTTTTAATAGAAACTAGAAGATATACAAAAATACCAAGAAATGAAAGAAAATGTAGAATATGTAACATCTTAGATCATGAATTCTTTCACTGTAAAAAATAATAAAAATAATAGAGAAACCTTTTTAAAATATTATATCGAAAATATGTCAATTTTAATACACTTAACTTAGCCGATAAACTCGCGATTATACTAAATCCATCAACACCCAGTGATATAAAAACAGTAAAGCGTCATTAGAACTGAGGAAAGGAGACCAATAACATGTATATTATTATTGCTGGGTTTTTCTTATGTTTGTTGTATGTCTGTATTACGCTAACCAAAATTGGTTTTTGTTTGTTTTGCAATAAACTTAATGCGGTAATATAATGTTCTCATACCGTGATGTCCATATATCGATATAAAATTAGTCATGTTTTGTATGAGAGAGAAAAAAACCAACAAGTCCAAATCTATTTGTAGCGTTACCGGCATCACAATGATGTATCACAGTTTGTGCATAAATGTAAGGGAGCTACCATTTGATTTTTATGGGGCGGGGGGGGGGGGGCTAGGATGAAATTTGAAAAAAATAGGCAGGACAGGAGTTTTGAGTAAAAAAAAAAGGCAGGATTAGATTATTGGCAAAAAAAAAGGGGCAGGATGACAATTTATGTAAAAAAAAAAGTCAGGATAAACTAAAAAAAAAAGGCAGGACCGAATAGAGTGAAAAATAAAAAGGCAGGACCGAATAGAGGGAAAAATAAAAAGGCAGGACAAAATTTATCATTCTAGCCACCCCCCCCCTCCATAAAAATCAAATGGTAGCTCCCTAATGGTCACTTGCCTTCATTTCGTATAAATTTAAATAAGCACAGCATAGGATGAAATTTGAAAAAAATAGGCAGGACAGGAGTTTTGAGTAAAAAAAAAGGCCGGGTGAGATTATTTGCAAAAAAAAAAAAGCCGGATGACAATTTATGTTAAAAAAAGTCAGGATAAACTAAAAAAAAAAAGGCAGGACCGAATAGAGTGAAAAATAAGAAGGCAGGACCGAATAGAGGGAAAAATAAAAAGGCAGGACAAAATTTATCATCCTAGCCCCCCCCCACTTCCATAAAAATCAAATGGTAGCTCCCTAATGGTCACTTGCCTTCATTTCGTATAAATTTAAATAAGCACAGCATTCAATTCATATATTTACAGATTTTTTGGAATTAGAAAAAAAAAAATATCTTGTATACATTTTGAACTGGAAGTAAACTATAAACTCAAAACTGCGGCTGAATTTGAGTAATGAAAAAAACAGTAGCATTCCACGATCTTCTACGTGTAATCGAATTTGATGCGTCATGAAGATGTCGATTTTAATAGTCGATAGCTCGTAAAATTAATACTTATCAAATTGCAATCATTATTGTACATGTATATCATAAGATAATAATTTATTGTTGTATATTTATATCAATAATTAATTAAGTAGACGGAGCTAATATTTATAAAATCTTGGATTGTTTTCATCCGAGATGAGTTGCTTTCGTGCGATTTGAAGGCATATATAACGGAATCAAATAATTCGTATTTTAGCCAATAAAATATCATCATATGTATGAATTGAACACCTACAGTAAATAGTAAGTCTTTTAAACACTGTGTCGTCACAGTAAACGACATGGTGAAGCGATGTACTATCAGAATTGGGTTTATGGGTCGTTTGACTGCTATGATTGGACTTAACCAAAAGCACACCTTACGGACAAAGGGGGATGAGCAATGGCCTGAAACAGTTATTACAAACACAGCGAAATGGTTTTTACGATCTTCTTTCTTCAAAAGCGCATATGAAAGTCATATACAATTAATAACAATGTAATGGTATATAATGCAAATAATAGAAACATATAATTCATATAATTTTTCAACATAAATGATCAATTAATATTTTGAGTATTGAACTAAACAAACTTTACGTAAATGCATGAACATATGCATATTAAAAGACGAACACGTATGCTTATAATATTTCTAAATAATAAAAGCTTATTTAAGCATTCAAATATATGAGCAAGATGACGACTAAATATGAAACGTATGAGCATAATGCGTGACCTACTATTTGAACCTAATTAAGAGAGCATAAAGCATGACTGCGCTGAACAGCATAAAGTGTTGAATTCATAAATATCTTAGCAATGAACATGTATGCTTATGATTTTTCCAATAAATAACAGCATCCAAATATATGAGCAAAATGCGAGCTAAATCTTGAATGTATGAGCATTATGCGTGACCTAGTATTGGAACCTATATGAGCATAGCGTGTATGCTAAACAGTATCAACATGTTGAATTCTTTTATCTTTTGAATAATAAACATGGTAGAGCAAATATTGCGCTTGTAAAAACTTAAAACTATATAAAACTATTAACCCAAAAATAATCAATTCAGACAATGAGCATTGGTTGACAAATGTTTTCTATAATTCTATTTAAAAGGGGAAATAACTTTGTAGATGAATTATAAGGATAATCGTAATCGAGACAAACCTAGCTTTACGAAACTAAACGTGATTATCCAAACATTAGTATCATGTGAAATGGGGAAACTAGCTTTAAGGTAGATCATAGGTATATATTTCTTGAGATAGAATTTTCTTATACTTTGCCAAAATGAAGATTTTACTATGTTTTTTTTCAAAAATATAATAAAAAGTATGGGTCACCGTGCTATTTTCCAAGCTATGAGTCGTTGAAAATTGCCTAAATTTGGTTAGATTGTTCATGAAAAAACACATTTGTGTGCAAAAAAAAAAATCTATGAGATAGAATTTTAAAATAAATTGTGAGAAGATAGGTTTTATAATATATTTTAAGAAAATAAAAAGAAAAAGTGTCACCGAACTTGTTTTCTTGCTACAAGTAAAAATTAAAAATTTCCCTATCAGTCCAGTATATATTTTTTACTTAAAGAGTTATCTCCCCTTAAATGGCTTATTTGAAAAAATTGATTCTAAAAACACAAAATTTGATATTTGTATAAATATTTTGAGTTATACAATAAATCACCAAGTTTTCTTTATATAAATAAGCAGTCTAACCAATAAATTCCAAAAATGTCTCCAAATTTGCGGATTTGGGCAAATAACTAGACCGATTTTTTACTGGGATTGTACAATTCAAGATGGCGGTATACCATGAATCTACCTTAAAACAGACATATGCTTGCTTTTATCAAAAAATTCATGACTCGTTATGATGACTTAGGGCTGAACGACAAGACTAGTTTACGATAAATAATTACTTATTAATTTAACCTACACATGTGGAAATTACGCATACAGCGTTTCTTAAATAATCAACATCTTACCCTTGTGGAACTGGCCTTAATTCTTATTACGTATGAACAAGCGATAAGTTAAATTATCATTTCCAACATGCGAGCGTAAAAGAAAATTCTATAACGCGTTTAAAAATACCCTTGAGAACAGAAAATTCGTGAAGAATAAACGAACATTTTTATAACACATATTTACATCTATTTACACTTATACAGAAACAACAATTTGATCTGAAATTCTTTACGTGCAGAACTAATATATATTTAACTTCAACTTTACTGAATAAAAGGGAAATGAAACCATATGAAGTTTTTGCGATTCATTTGAATAACTAATGAAAGAAACACTAAAAGAAAAAAAAATATAAAACGAAGTATATTAACTTTGAATAACTAAAATACTTCTAAAGTTATCGGGAACATTAAAATGATTTCCTTCAACAATAATGAACGAATATAAATCAAAAATACTATTAACCACAATTGCATCTTCGAAATAGACTTTTAATAAAGAAAATGAATTAAACTTATTCTTTTTTGTTGAAAACTAAATTTTCACAAAAATATTAAATGAGGTATAAAATGACTCTATGACAGTACGACCAGATGCGATACCTGGAAAAGAAGCCAAAAAACGTGTGCGCCTTCTTTTATTATTAAAAGATATATCAAATCGGTGACTTTGAATTTTTATCAGATTAATGAGGCGATTAATTTGAATTACCAGAATTGTATTATATGTCTATAGAATTACTTAAACGAAAATAAAGTTCTTTGTGCAGCTTCTCTGACTGACTGTTAAAGAATAAAAAGTTTAGCATAACTTTATGATGTGTACCGTTAACTTACAATTAAGGGGTATACAGGATTATACGGATGGATGGAAACACATGTATATAGAGACTACTGGCGGCTCGCCGAATACAATTCTTTTCAAAGACCTCATAACAATAATTTTGTAAACCACGTGTAAATCATTAAAAACGTGTAATATTGCTTCAAGAGTGTATATGTATAAATTTTTATTTTCAGCACAAATTTTACAGCTTCCTTGATCAGGATGACGAGGAGGATGATGATGATCCAACATATGAGGCACAAAAATTTAGAAAAACGTTACATAGGTCTGTAGAAAATGTCTCGCCTTCTTTACAAACCATTGATTTTATGTTGATAGTCTAAATATAAAAATTTACTACAACTATCACATAAACTTAACAAGATCCAAGAAAATGAGGTCAAAGTCAGATAAACCAAACTGTAAATACATGTACACCTTATAATCATTCCATATGCCAAATATACTTTAAAATATAGTTGACCTATTGCACATCTAAGAAACAAACTTAACCAGGAAAACTTAACATTGATCAATGAACCATGAAAATGAGGTCAAGGTCAGATGAACCCTGCCAGACAGACAAGTACACCTTACAATCATTGCATGCTTTAAATATAGTTGACCTATTGCATATAGTATCTAAGAAACAAACTTAACCAGGAAAACTTAAGATTGACCAATAAACCATGAAAATGAGGTCATGGTCAGATGATAATTGCCAGACAGACACAAACACCTCACAATAATTCCAAACACCAAATATAGTTGACCTGTTGCTTATAGTATAAGAAAAACAGACCAAAAAACAAAAACTAAATATTGAGCAATAAACCGTAAAAATGAGGCCAAGGTCAAATAAAACATTCCAGACTGACATGTACATCGTAAAATATTTTCATACACCAAATATAATTGACCTATGGCATACAGTATTAGAATAACAGACCAAAACACAAAAACTTAACTTTAACCACTGAACCATGAAAACGAGGTCAAGGTCAGATGACAGCTGCCAGTTGGACATGTACACCTTACTATCATTCCATACACCAAATATAGTAGACCTATTGCTTATAGTATCTGAGATATGGACTTGACCACGAAAACTTAACCTTGTTCACTAATCCATGAAATGAGATCGATGTCAAGTGCAAACTGTCTGACGGGCATGAGGACCTTGCAAGGTACGCACATACCAAATATACTTTTTTCAAGTAGTCGCTGAACCATGAAAATGAGGTCGAGGACAATGGACATATGACAGACGGAAACTTCATAACATAAGGCATCTATATACAAAATATGAAGGATCCATTTCTTCTACCTTCTGAAATATTAAGCTTTTGAGAAGTTTGTTAACGCCGCTGTCGCCGCAGCCGGATCACTATCCCCATGTCGAGCTTTCTGCGACAGAAGTCGCAGGCTCGACAAAAACGATACGCTTTCACTTAAACTAAATTTAAAAAAAAATTAAAAGTCTGCTGTTCATGAATTTCCTGTATTAACCTATATTTTATTTCAATAAATCATAACATCAAAGAAGGCTGTTTATTTGAAATTGTTTGATATAAGTGATTTCATGAATATATAGTGTATGCATTTGAGTGTAGGAAACCACGGGATACTGAGAATCTTCTTCATAAAAACGTTCTTCTTTTAGGCAACACATATCTCAATGTTTTTGAATTTATTCCAGATTGTCAAACGAGTCTGGTGATTTACAATTTTCATTAGTTAGTGATGGTACTGTTACAAGAAATGACTTCAAATCTCAGGTAAAGCAGATTTTCACAAACTCAATTATATTTGTTCTACTGAAAAAAGTGTGCTGCATCAGATCATACAAGCCCAGACAGAATAGAGCTCTTGGCTTCTGGTGAAACCTGAAAATATAAATGAACTTTATACTAATAGATGCAATTTTTAGAATATTTTTTTTTCATTTTTGTAATTAAACGTTCCTATTTGAAATGTTTTACTTGTGGCCTTAAATGTAACGCAAATAATATTTAATAGACTAATGGTATTATAACAAAATCTGAAACAAATAAATAAATAAGTGACAAATAGTTGTAAAGTTGCCATATTTAGTTGTTTTTGTACACGTCAATCTGAGTTTCATTTTACTAAAGATTTTTGTTCATTCTTTACCAAACTTTAAAAAAAATTAAATATGTGTTGGAGACATATCTTTCTTTCAAAGGATGCATATTATTAGATCTTTTCACATTTTATGTCCAGATTAATGTAAAAACCACATGTAGAGATGTATGTGGATAAGCACACATAATGTTATTTTGTTGAAGAAAAGATCCACATTATTTTGTAAATATTCATTCGTTTTACATCTTATATAGACGGTCAAGGTCGACAATATCTTTTTTAAAACATTGTTTTTCTTTCTTTTGATTGTTTTTGTCTAAGACTTAGAATACATATTTTTTTTCCTTTATTGAATTTGATTGGATGCTAATTATGCCTTTCCAGGATGTCTTCATCTTTGATACACAGGGAGAAGTTTTTGTATGGATAGGTAGAAGAACAAGTGAAGACGAACGTAAGAACGGAATGGCATACGCTCATGTAAGATAATTTTGCCTGAATAAACTGGATCTTTTATTAATATTAACATTACATTTATATTTAGTTTCGACTTTGTTTGCAAACAAACACACATATGGTACAAACTGAGAAATGTACCATGTCATTCCGTAAGATGAGCCAAGTGAAGCACCATTGAGAACATCCAGAAATGTAGAGCATATATCAAAAGTTTTTAAAAGCAATTTGTGAATGATACAATCACTATTTGTAATGTTGAAAAAAGTTATGTATTGACTGATGAAAATCAAAATTCATTCTTTATAGTTTGCAACAAATTAGCATCATTATTCACATTACAAATATATCTTGACACAAATAATGCAATTTCTATAATAAAAAACTGTATTTGAAAAAAAATGTATATCTTCTCTGTAAGTCGTTTGCAATTAACAGGCTTATTGAAAATGTATTTTTGTTGTAGAAATATCTAATGGAAACAGATCATCCAACAGTACCAATAACAGTTCTAAACGAAGGACAAGAATCTATGGTCTTCAATTCTGCATTGGGAAATTAGGAATTTATATACTAAATAACTTTAATAATTTGCTTTTGATATATATTTAAATATACATTTGCTGAGTCATTTGACCATTTATACTTCACAAATATAGACTTACAAACATTTCTTATATTTCTATCAGGAACATCGTTGTGTCTCATGAAATTCAAAAATGATATTCTTGAGCCTAAAAGCGTCTTTCTGTTGTTGTTTTCAATAATTTTTAGCAGAAGTTGGTATTGGATAAACGATGTTACAAACTCATATAAACAACAGAAGTAATTATAAGAATAATGTTGGATACATGATAGTAACAGAAACCAATTAACCAACATAAAACGTTAACAAAGTACTGGACTGGAATTATTAAAATAATTCTTTATTTGGTAGAACTTGATTAAAAAGGATAGCCAACAACCTTTGAGAAACTTTTAAAAAAGCAGTGATAAAACACATATACAATTCATTTGACCAAATAATCCCGTTTGGTGCTAATCTTCTTGCACATTTTGTTACGGTTTGATGGAGAGTTTCCAAATACTGATATAAATATTAAAATAGATATCAAAATCAACAAGACAGTTGTCGTTGATAGAACTATGTAGTTCTTTCTTCCCTACTAAACATTTTTATTGGAGGTTCAAAATTTTATTTCAAATATTTAAGCAGTAATTTGCTCGAAACTGTCATATTATGTCAGTTAAGTGCATGTCGTTTATAAATACAAAAACTCAAAAACTCAAAAACTTAATATTGAACAATTCATGTAATTACTTAAAATTAGAATACCAGTTGAGTAGTTTGATTTCATACAACAAATTGCAATTGGGTCAGAATTTTGAATGAACTGCAATAGCTGGATAGAAACACTTACAATCAAGTCACTTTAAAAAGTCCTCCGCTCGTATGACATTATTAAAGATGTAAATGATTGGTCAAACGACACTCATGATAAGAAACTTAACATTTGAACGAAGTAATTCCAAGGCCACAGAAATATACGACGCAAGACTGAGTTCATGACATCAAAAACTGCAGGTTACCGACTTGCGTGAAGGCTAACGCAACTGTTTATCGAATGTAGGACAGAAAGTCATAGGACAAAAAGTAGATTATTTTCTTTGAATAAGAAATCACTAATTTAAAAAAAAAATTTTTTTGTATTTTTCTTGAACTATTGTATACATAAACCAACTTTGTGAACAAAATTTATTAAAGAATATCAATAATGATCAAATAAATGTTTAGAAAACAAAATGTCAAAGTGGCTTGGTACCTAAACGGCTTCATGGTGCTAAAAAATATATCCTTTGCAGGATTAGAATTAATAAATCTTCATTTATCAAGGCTAATGAACAATTTTCTAAACTGTAAAAAGAATATATGTAATAAAAAGTAATTATTTCAAGATCTTACTCTTATATATTCAAACAATTGTCAACGAATTATTTGTGACTTTTTGCCCTGTGGCTTTTTGTCCTATCAAATTTGTGACTTTTTGTCCTGTGACTTTTTGTCCTGTGACTTTCTGTCCTGTGACGTTTTGTCCTGTGACTTTCTGTCCTGTGACTTTTTGTCCTGTGACTTTCTGTCCGCTTACCTGTTTATCATACATAAATGGACTATCATATGTGCTTCAATGTCAAAACCAAATAATAAAATAACTTGGCTTCACATAGCCATAAGGTGAAATTTACAATCCACTGTGAAAGCTATTTACTATTATGCAAAGATACTAGTCTAATGCAACTGTATGCCAAAATATCAATTCTATACCATAATATCTTCTGAATTAACCATGCATTCATCAGAATACAACAAAGAAACCAAACGTCTTTTGTTGTTTTCAATAATTTTTAGCAGAAGTTGGTATTGGATAAACGATGTTACAAACTCATATAAACAACAGAAGTAATTATAAGAATAATGTTGGATACATGATAGTAACAGAAACCAATTAACCAACATAAAACGTTAACAAAGTACTGGACTGGAATTATTAAAATAATTCTTTATTTGGTAGAACTTGATTAAAAAGGATAGCCAACAACCTTTGGGAAACGTTTAAAAAAGCAGTGATAAAACACATACAATTCATTTGACCGTATTTACTCTATTAAAATACTGACCGACCTACACCCCATCGTACATAAGCACTATGTACGTTTACCATAATTAATATACAAATTAAAAACAATATTAATTTTGCCGACTAGCCCGTCAAGTACGCTGGACGCCGGATTTTATTTTAGATATACAACATATAATAAATATGATAAACATTGTTTGAGTAAACATCCATACAGTTATTAATCACTGATCATTTACAACTAACTTAAGAAAGTTCCTCCTCGTACCAACGGCCAAGACACGCTCAGGAAAAACCAGAGATAAAACCATACAGTATTTGATGGTCATAAAAGCTCTGGAAACCTGTGTTCTCTAGCAAAAATATCTTTCGACAGACCGTCTCATAGGGACAACACGAGAACTTGCGTTGATAATGAACTTTCATTCCCAATCAAAATATACACTTATAATCTATATAACATTTCAAAATTGAAAATTCAGAAATTAAAAACAAATATACTCTACGCCAACAGCTTTGCGATATTAAATCTATTATCAAAAAATGTAATTTTGATGTGTACGCTTCAAAGGACGGCTAGAAAGTGAGATACATTTACATGTATACCTTTTACCTGCAATCAATTTTGATTACAAACAAATCCTGATTGGACAATACCTTATTTACAAACCGTTAATACAGACATTTTCCCGCTATTACTAGTCGAAACGCGGGAAAATTCATGTATTTACTCTATCAAAATACTGACCGACCTACACTCCATCGTACATAAGCACTATGTACGTTTACCATAATTAATATACAAATTAAAAACAATATTAATTTTGCCGACTAGCCCGTCAAGTACGCTAGAAAACTTACAAATATAGGGGGAACCGGGACGAGAAGCAAAAACTATTTACAATCCTAAATGCTTCGTTACTTGCAGCCTTTTTCAACTGAGTCCACAACGTAACCATCCTTGCTACTGTCACTTTTCCAACGACCGTGTCGTTTCCATACCCTATCATTGACACCCGAATTTGCAGCAGCAGTAGCCCCACCTGACCGCATTGAATGCAGTCCAAGCTTCAGGTCTTTTGACACTAGTTTCAGTCTATAAATAATGCTTTCTCTGGCTGTAGTATAACTAAGCTTTTTGTTTTTATATACAAGTTTACAAATACTTTTAGAACGAAAAATAGGTCTAAAAAGGAAAAATTCGATTCCAAATTGACACCTGAAAGATTTACATATCTCAAAAACATCTCATATGGACAAGCAATGGTATCCCCCTTGGAAATTAAAACCTCATTACCATTACGATACTGGTCAGTCTTACTCTTCTCTATATACAAAATTAAATAATCAGATTTAACTTTAACATTTTTACACAAAAGAGAGCTAATCTCATCGTAACGCAAAAACCCAGCAAAAGACAGTAAAATCATTGCTAAATCACGAACCACAAGTAAATCTTGGTTATTTGAAAACATTCTGCACAATTGCAATAACATATCTAATGAAACAGGGTCCTTCTTGTGCTTCTTAACAGTAGCCACTCTCTTGGCAGATTCTTGTAAAGAATGTAAATATGAATTTTTAGTTGGATCTGCAAAATTACTCATTTCGTGCACCCATTTTATACTATAAATAGCAGAATTGATAGTGTTACAAGTAGCACCAGTGTCAAGCAAATAAGTTATGTACAAAGCTATATGAACCGGTTGTGCTGATAAAGCTTGAAAACCATGTTTTTTAATGAATGTTTCCCAACGTTTAAATGCATAAAAGTACGATTTTGCTGTATTATCACTTCTACTGTTCACAATGTAACTGGACATATGTTCTGCATACTTGAAAAGTTCAGATTCCTCGTCTACTCCGGCATCTTTCACATCTTCCTTAATTTTGTCTCTCAAACCTATTCCTGGAAAACAGAAATGCAATCTATGATAATCTAATAACCTAAATTTCAACACGCATAGCAACGAAATTGAAATTTTGTTTAATCATACCGAAAATCCCATTTCGCCCTCTTCCTCTATGAGTTATCCTTGAACCCGGAAAGATCTTATGATTTTTAACAAAATATTTAAATCCGTTACCCTCTGACAAGACCGGCCAATAAGGAGCCGACTTCCATTCGGGTATAACTAACGTACCAACTGCCCTATCTTTCAACATCTTTTTAACTGTTTCTGTAACTAACGAAGGTGGTGGGACTAACCAGTTATTTTCTTTATCCCAATGCTGTTTGAAAGCATCAACACCGCTCGTTCTCTGACACCAGAACTTGGAATTAAAATTATCACATTTTTTGTTATATGAAGACGCAAAACGATCTACTGTATGAGGACCCCACTCTCTATCAAGCGTACGAAACAGCCATGTTTGTACACCCCAGTCATCGCAATCGTTCAACCTACTTAAAGTGTCTGCATGTGTATTATTTTCTCTCGGTATCCATTGCGCAAAAAACGAAACATTGCTTTGTTCACATGCATTTTGAATTTCCATGTTTATATCTTGCAAGTGAGTCTTTTTACTACCGACCTTCAAAATAGTTTCAACATTTTTATTATCAGTATGTATTCTTACACTTTGCCCATTCAATGTAGGCAAATTAGTTTTCAAAACCCTATGAACAGCCTCAAGTTCTCTCCAAGTAGAACTCATGTTTGTTTCATGTGCATCCCATGCACCAAACATTTCAACCGTTTTGCTGTTCCCTGCCTCAGCTATATATCCTCCATAGCCTTCACCTGAGGCATCCGAAAACATGTTTACATCACATGCTTCGTTTGTCAACTGACTAAATAATGCACCATCTGCATTTAACCTTTCTATGTTTGATAACCAAAACCCTAATTCTACCTCCGCTTCTGGAGTAACCCAGACCGGTGCCTCCCATGATGTACTATCCTGAACACAATCATAGGCATACCGAGTCCTTAACCTTACAGTTGTACCCAACACACCTTGTGTAGATATTAACTGACCAATAACAGAAGCTAATAATTTCACTGATATCACACGTTTGTCTGGTAACCTGTTACAAATGCAGGATATACATTTTATTATCCTGTCAATTCTCTCTTTTGTTATTCTAATTCTACCTTCAGATGTATCCCATATCATTCCCAAGAAAGTTATCACTTGGACCGGGTTCCAGTTACACTTTTCTTCAGCAATAATGAAGCCAAAATCGATTAAATCTGCCTTTATTCTATGGCTAACTGTAGTGCATTCATCATAATTGTCAGCACCCCCTAAACCATCATCAAGATACATTAGGATCCTGATACTGTTAGATCTCCAATACCTTATAACCTCTCTTAAGACTTTTGAAAATATAAAACCTGCTGTAGCCAATCCGAAACACAAAACATTAAATATGTAAAATTTAGACTCCCACTGAAAACCCAAATATGTTCCGTCTTCCTGCTGTACCATAATATGATGATAAGCTGACTTCAAATCAAAAGAAAACAGATAATCGCCCTTAGAAAACAGTTTTCTTGCCACAGAGGCATCTTCGTATTTATATCTAAACTGATATAAATGTGGATTGATGTGACGCCAGTCAAGCACTAATCTAAGTTTTGACTTGTTACCTGCAACCGTTAATGGATTTACAACCTTAGGCTTTACAAATACTTCTGATATACACCCTTTAGATAATAATTTCTCAATTTCATCTTTAACAAATGATTTGTTGTCTTTGGCTGATCTATTATTATCTAATAAAACGTTCTCAGGTAAAGTTTTTAACGGTAACATATACCCTTTGTCAATAACATTTAAAATGTAATCACTTGTTTGAATGATTTTCCATTTGTTTATGTGTTTTCTCAGACTATTGACTGGTGATTTAATTGTATCAACCTTTATACATAAGTTATCTACGTGTACTTCTAAATTACACCTATTTAAAGTATTAAGATTACTTATCTTATCATTTTTTCTTTGCTGTTTCTCAGGACATTCCTGTTTCCAATGTCCTTTCACACCACAATTGAAACATCTGCCTGGTTTTCTCGTCATAACTGCTTTTTCTGCTGGTTGGACGTAGGGATGTACTCGTCTAGCTTTCTTTGTCTTATCAGCTTTCACCTTTCTTTCTGCTCTGTTTTCAGCCTTATACAATTTCCTTTCATCTTCCGAATCATCTGCAAGTGGGTTGGTTTCATATTCGTGTACGACTCGCCAGCCCAGCTCGGATGAATCTGCAATACGTATTAACTTTTGTCTATAGTTCATTAAAGAAATACCTTCCGCTAACTTCTCCTTGGCTTTGCATACGGTATCCGGTGTTGGATTAGTGCCATCTAACAGACTGTCTGCTTCTTTCATTTTGCTGAGCACCTTCATGTTTTGCTTAAACTGCTCTTCATTCCCTCGTTTTTTGAATTTGGGTCCATCCGTCAAGGTAGCTTCTATCTTGGAAACCTGTGTTTCTGCAATCTGTTGTTGTTGCACATGCATCTTTCCCATTTCGCTGGAAATAATCGAACGCATTTGGTTCATCATGTCGTTTTGATTTACCGTCAAAATATTCGAGACTTGAATTCTGATTTGCTCTTGAAGTTCGGCGTCCATTTTGATGTGTACGCTTCAAAGGACGGCTAGAAAGTGAGATACATTTACATGTATACCTTTTACCTGCAATCAATTTTGATTACAAACAAATCCTGATTGGACAATACCTTATTTACAAACCGTTAATACAGACATTTTCCCGCTATTACTAGTCGAAACGCGGGAAAATTCATCAATAATCCCGTTTGGTGCTAATCTTCTTGCACCGTTTTTTTCACCTGCTGCACAATTTATATATATAGCACGCCTTTTACGAATTACGAATTAACGTATTTAATTCACGAAAAGCGTAGCTTTGAGTGGATTAAATATGTTAATGAGTAAGGCGTGGCTATATATGATTTGTAACATTAATAGGCTATGACAAACGTCAAAAGTTAAATGCTGACCAATAAAACTTTACTGTACTTTTCAATATGTCAATCAAATAGTGGCGTGATACTAGTTCTGATTTCCAGAAAATTAACACAGGCAGCATATGTCAGTTGGATTTGTATGTCAGATACAGGTACATTTAAATGAATTGTTGCTGTGGTATTCAGGCTCGATAGCCATTTACGTGTTATTGAATATTTTTTCTCCCCAAAAACTCTTGAAAAAAAGGGAAGGGATGCAAAATTTAATTCGAAGTCTATCTGCCCTCCAGCTCGAAAATGGCGTGTAGTTTCAAAGGAGTTTTGATAAGAAGGAAACATTTTCTAATACCAACTATGAAGGTAATTACTACTATTCTTCCATTTCCAAGAACTGGAAAAAGATCGCTTAATTGATTGCAATGGTCGCATGTTGAATGCGTGTAAGATCCAGGGACAAATATTTGAAGCATGATCAATTCACGGAGATAGGCCTTTATAGAATGAAGAAAATGACTAAACATCCAGTGACATATATTTTTTAGAATATTATTAATTTCGACAAGATAAAAACAGGCATCCAATCAAAATAACAGTAGGAAAATTTATAGTCATTTCTATTACATTTTGTTTTATTCTTTCATTAAGTGGAGGAAATTAAACGACTAAAATTCCAGAGACAATTTTGTGTAATATTTATATTGTCACAATAAAAACAAGTATCCACCAATTTATCAATATCGCCTCTTCGTTTATAGACCACGTTATTCCTTTTTGTAGCTCTCCTCGAGCATTCATTTGTGTTCAAGTACAATGTATAGGGAACCATTTTTAATTTAGGGTTAGGTTTACAAGTTTGGCTTGTGTTAGGGTAAGCCCTCCCCCCCCCCCCCTTTTCTCGATTTGTTTTTGATATATTGTTGTGTATGCATTTTTTTACATTTATTAGGACATTTTATGGTCATTGATTTTATAGTTTACTAGGCCAAGGAGGCGGAGCTAGACAGTGAAATAACAACTTTTGAGATGGAAGTTAGAGCACTGGTCTAAGCTCCTCCCATTATTTGCTGTTCCTATGACAAGCGACACACGGCGGGACTGGAGAGTGCAATAACTAAAAAATCATTCAGTTCTAAACGCACTCCTCTAAAAATAACCAAAGTTAACTCACTCGAAGATCAAAGGAAAAATTACCATTCATGTTACAATAAAAACAAATACATGTATATGAGCAATATATAGCATGTAGTAGCTTTCATTAATTGAACTTGAACCAAACGTCGAAACTCAAGGACAGTGGACGAGTTCAAAAAGGCTTCATATTTTTATATTCATATTGTTTGGAGTAGCTGATATTATTAGTTACATAGTGTGCTAGTGAACTAATATGGTATATATGGGGTCAGTAAATTCCATATGGGGTGAGAGCGAAGCTCGAATCCCCATATGAAATTTACTGACCCCATACATACCGTATTACGTCACTAGCACACTATGTAACGAATTTATCTTACCGACTATCTTAACGTGTGATATTTAGACCAGTAACCTATCAAAATGAGCAAGTCTGAATACCGTTAGTAGGGAGGCGGGGCTTATTTCAATACACGGTTAGTAGTGGTGTTACGCCCCTTTTTAAAAACAAAACGGTACTGAGAAAAAAATCTTAAAGGTTTCAACAAACGAAGAAATTGATGATTAATAAATTCATAAAACACATTGTTATTGTTGGCATCTGTTTTTGTATGATCAATGGAAGTAGTTTCGTAATGCTAACGGTATTGAATTCAGACTTGCTCATTTTGATAGGTTACTAGTCTAAATATCACACGTTAAGATAGTCGGTAAGATAAATTCGTTACATAGTGTGCTAGTGACGTAATACGGTATGTATGGGGTCAGTAAATTTCATATGGGGATTCGAGATTCGCTCTCACCCCATATGGAATTTACTGACCCAATATATACCATATTAGGTCACTAGCACACTATGTAACTAATAATATCAATATGCAGACAACATGATTGTCGATTTATAGGATTGTATTCGTTTTCGGGTCAAACTTATCAATGTCGGTTCATAAACCTACAAAAAAAAATATATTTAAGCATAATGATATAGTAAAATCAGTTTAAATGTAGAAAGCAGAAAGCTATATCTGAGTAGTTGATAACATCTTTCTGGCCTTGCCGGTATCTGTCTTTGAGTAGCTGTAGTCTTGTGTTGAGAACTCTGTTCTTGCGTCTGATTGGTTGACGGGCACCTCCTGCAGCATACATGATTATAGTGCATTCTGTGAAGGCATGTGTCTTCTGTAGGATTTCGATTAGGTTGTACAGGTTCTTTATTTTGTTGTGCCATCCTTCCATGTGGTTGGTTGTACGGGTTCCTTCAGTCTGGAAGTGGTTCCATAAGAATCTGTGCTGCTCTTCCATCTAGTTGAGTGATGTCGTCGTTCTCCTTGTAATAGGTTTGAAGTCCGCATTTCTGTGCCTTTCTCAAAATACATTGGATGAAGTGGAAGAAACAACCCCTAACTGCTACCCCTAGGAAAACTACATGCTGCATTCTTGGTGGCTGTCTCGTAATCGATAAAAAAAAACTGTGTCAGGTTGGAATTGAAGTTGGTGCTGTTTCTTATCCTTATTTTATTAAAATTATTGAGCATTTCACAAATGTATATTACTAAAAGCACATGTATTTGATAACTTCTATTTCTAGAAAACAATTTGTACTATTATAACATAAAAACATAAAGACTTAAGGTTGTATACCTCTGTAGTCTGAGGAGCCAAAAATTTCTAGAATTAAACTTTTTTTCTTAACCTGATTTTTGGGTTTATAAGACTGTAAGAAAGTAATTGATGGCGAAAAATCATATGGTGATGCACTTCTTTTTTTACTACAGCCATTTGAAAGTACCGGCTTTCAACAATGAGCAAAACCCATACCATAACCGAGAAAAACCATCAGCTTGATTTTAATTGCACCAAGCCGTTTGTTTCCCCAGTCTGTTTTAGCGTTGCATCATTAGCGTATCGCATTTCAACGCTGTTCTATTGGACAGACCGCAGCGCTATCCAATCACATTGCGGCGCTTTGCTCTCCTGCACAATTTCGATCATATGATCACCTGGTTGATTTTTCTATATTGTTTACTTTACAGCGGAGAGGAACCATTTCAATGAAAGAAAACAAAATGCTGTTCTTGACATAACTTTAAGTAAAAAAATATTTCTTCCTCGATTCTTTTTTACATAGAATTTTTTTTTTAAATACAGAAATTTCATGAAAGGACGAAAAAAAGTCGGTGGAAAGTACGCACAAAATCATTTCCAATCATTTTTAAGATAAGTTTAACTCTTCCTCTAACCAGGTGTAATTGTCCCTCTTTTGAAACCCCTATGATTAGTTCATTATTGTTTGGTAGTTTCAACTAAACTGTTGCCGTGAATCTGCATTGATTCAGAGTTGCATTCCAGATGGGTCATACCTGTCAACTGACCCGTATCCTGCGGATAACACCCGAGAATTTCACCTCTCACCCAGGATTTTTAAGATATCATGGCCAGTCTCGCCTACTTTTGGTGTTAATCGCAGGCTCAACAAAAATGAGGAAAAAAAGTAATAAAAATATTCCCCTCTATACTATGTTTTGATTGTAAGTAGCTTCTGTCCAAGTTTGGTAAAAATCCAGGATAATTTATGAATCTAATAAATGTTTTAAAATCTTAAACTGCAGAATGTATGTAATGTTGACTGGAAGAAAAACTAAGTCCATTTATAAGTAAAATACAGAAAAAATGGAACAAAATTTTATCAAAATTTCCTTCTAGATACTAGCTTTTGATCATAAACAAGCTTCTGTCCAAGTGTGGTACAAATCCAGGATAGTTTAAGAAAGTTGTTAAAATTTTAAAAACTTTAACCACAGAGTGAATGTAATGTTAACTGGCAGAAAAACTAAGTCCATTTATAAGTAAAATACGGAAAAATGGATTTTTTTTTTTACAAAATTTACTTCTGGATACTATCTTATGATCATAAACAAGCTTCTTTCCAAGTTTGGTATAAATCCAGGATAGTTTAAGAAAGTTATTAAAATTTCAAAAACTTTAACCAGAGAGTGAATGTAATGCTTCCTGGCAGAAAAACTAAGTCCATTTATAAGTAAAATACGGAAAAATGGATTTTTTTTTTTACAAAATTAACTTCTGGATACTATCTTATGATCATAAACAAGCTTCTTTCCAAGTTTGGTAGAAATCTAGGATAGTTTAAGAAAGTTATTGAAATTTTAAAAACTTTAACCACAGAGTGAATGTAATGTTAACTGGCAGAAAAACTAAGTCCACTTATAAGTAAAACACGGAAAAAATGGTTTTTTTTTTTTACAAAATTTACTTTTGAATATAATCTTATGATCATAAACAAGCTTCTGTCCAAGTTTGGTAGAAATCCAGGATAGTTTAAGAAAGTTATTAAAATTTCAAAAACTTTAACCACAGAGTGAATATTTGTGGACGCCGACGACGACGACGACGACGACGACGACGCCGACGGAATGTAGGATCGCTATGTCTCGCTTTTTCGACAAAAGTCGAAGGCTCGACAAAAATATATATAAAAGAAAAAAAAATGCGGTAGCTAGT